CCAGGATTTCAGCACTTCCTGTTTGTTACATTCCCCTTGATCATGCCCTACCAGGTCTCCCACACCCACCTCCCCACCAATTTGGATCTTTTAAACACAATTTTTAATGTTTTCCAAAAGATTGTTATTAAGGATATGCTAAAATTGGACCTAATCTGAACCATGCTTTCTAATTTCTCTAAATACGTTAGGTATTTTTCACATTACTCTTTTATTTACTCATTTTATCATAAAAAATGGTGATCTTGTTCACATTGTAATTATTTTTTAAAAAACAAGACATCTGGGAAGAAATGAAGTTCAGAAAGAAAGAATGGACAGGGAAGAAATTTCTATCGATCAGTCACTGCCTCCTGTTTTTTAATAGGTTCTTTACATTTGTCCTGGGAAACAGCCATGGAGTGAGCGGTTCACTGGTTTGTCAGTGCTGTAGATAAAACTTTATTTTGAGTGTATTATCCCAAGATGGGAAACATGACATTTAAGCACAAGTTCTATGATTTTGAATCAGCATTTGATTCTGAATCTGACACAGTAACCAGCAAGGGGAAAAGTCCTGTTGTCGCTAATGATTGAAATAAATCTCACTCCAGGACATTAACTGCTGGAGTCATGCGATGAAGCAGAGCTGACTCCTCCCAGCAGGGATGGCGGCTGAAGCACATGGGTGATTTCTGAGTCTGCTCACGTTCTCTTTGTCTCTTACAGGTTCTAAAATGGGTAGAAGAAGCGGTGCAGGCCTCCAAAGTTCACCTCTTATCCACAGATCATTTGGAGCATGTTGCGAACACTTGGCAAATTCCTTTTGATCCCAGCCTAAAAGAGGTTACTGTGTCTCTGAGCGGCCCTTCCCCGATGATCGAAATTCGCAATCCTTTAGGTAAGATATACCTAAATTCGTGTAATAATAATAATAAAAAAGACAACGGAGAGTATGATAGTGCCCACACCTGTATTGGATGGCGCATTTCTGCAGTTGTGGGAAAGTGCTGTGGGGCCCATTCTGACCTGTAGTGAAACCATGTGATAGAGCAGCATTTAAGGTTTTGTGCTTGGCGCAAAGATATCCTCCAGGACCTCATGTTGGTAATATCCAGAACTGCCCAAGAGATTTCCCAGGGTTACAGTCCTTATGGGTTCAGATCGCCCCTGGGTGGTCCTAACCTTCAGGCCTTTGGTGGGCAGCAGAGTGCTTCACCATTTGCACCATACCTACTGAAAACTTAATGCTAGCTTTGTGAACATTTGAATAAATCCAGAAGTGGGGTAGGGAAGATGCTTAGAAAGTAAAACTTATAATTATTAATGAATTAACAGGAGACTAAAAAAGCTAAAACTTCTAATAGTTTAAACATCAGATTCAGTGAATTAATTGTAGCTGAACTATATTAAGAAGAATTATTGTTTAAAATATTCAGTGAATTTCCATTCAAAGAAGAAGAGTAGTTGCCAAATATTTACTCTATATAAAGTCATCCATCTCAGGATCTCAATCAATAAGCATATGTTGTAGCAATGAATATAATATTTTGTTTGATTTTCCTAATCTGTGTATGAGGGAATATTTAGTTCACTATTTATGTTACTTTTAAATAAATGGCAAGAAATAAACTCTTAAAAGTGGTCTAAATCTTCACTGAATTATTTGACAGAGGTTCCGTTTTATGGAAAACTATTGTTCAAAGTCAAATTTAGATTTTAATCAGAGAAATTTGCTTTGCATTCATCTGAGCCTCATAAAATAACAAACGCCTAAAAGAAAACAACATTGGAAATTGTCCTTAGAGGTTACATGAACACCAGCACTCAACTTGAAATAAAACAAGCAAGAAGAAGCACAGCTAATTTTAATGTATCTACAGGTTTGTCCTTGTAAACGCCTTGGACTCTGGAGGCCACATTCTGCTCCACTGACCTCCATGCTACCCAGAGCAATTTTTGCTTTTTCTACTACTTAGGTACTTAAAAGTGCCAGTATTCATTGTATTGCATTATGTTACCACTCCTTAAAAAAGTCCTTGAATACACAACGATGTAAAGCTTGTGTGGCAAATATAAGATTGTTATAACTGATTTGCTTACATATATGCAAAAGTAGTGCATGAAAGAGCCAAGGGTGTAGTGAATAACTGAACTATGGCTTAATTCCAACTTTGCTTTTCAGCCTCAATAAATCTCAACTATTAGATACTTAAGTAAATCTCAGTCGGTGTGTGGAGGTTGGTATCATGTTCCCTGGTTACACTGCCTCCTTCAGTGATTGTTATGTCCCTTAAAAGCTCTCTCTGGTGCTGGGTGGAAAAGTGGTTAAGGTTTTGTACTTGTGCAAAGCTATACTCTGGGACCTTCTGTTAGTAATATCCTGAATGATCTCCAAAAAAGACATTTATTCTGGTTTACTATGTTGCCATCTGTTTAAGTGCCTCTAGTGCCTGCACATAAATTCTCAGTAGCTATTGTAATTGCTATCTAGGCTGGCTTCAGAAATATGATCAGGCTGTCAGTGGTAATTCTCCATTAAAAATCAACTAAGCATAACAAATAGCAGCCTGTCACTGCAGTACCAATGCCCAGAAACTTTAAAATAAAATACATTTGAGATATAAATTAACTAGCATCTTAAGATATGGACATACATATCTCTCAGGTACTTTATAATAGCAACAAGGTACTTTTCATTTGAGCTATGGGATAGAAAATCATAATTTTTCAGGTCAGTTTACACCACACTGTGGTAAAAATATATTTCTCTGTGTTATTTGAAATCTGATCCAGCTCTTAGATTTATGTAGTGTTAAATTGACTAAGATGCATAGCTGAGAGAAATATTCTGCTTGTCTGTCTTTCAGGGAAGCTGATAAAAAAGGGATTTGGCCTGAACGAGCTATTAAATATCCATAACTCTGCCAAGGTGGTGAATGTGAAAGAGCCAGAAGCTGGAATGTGGACAGTGAAGGTACTGTACTTCACAAAGCCTACTTATTTCTCTGGATGATGGCATGTTGTATGAAGTATATCCTTTATTTTTGTCTGTTCTTGTGGTCACGGAGAGCTCTTTGAATGAAAAGCAATATACATTGTGCATTGGTAGATTTAATCATCACATGGATTTGGTAGTGTCAAGTTTTGATGACCCTGAAGAGAAAGTGATATATGCTACAAGAAGCCCTTAAATAGGTCCCCTATCACCTGATCTGTAAAGTGATTGCTTTGTTCACCATCTGCTTCCACAACAATCTGAAATGAGCACCCAGAGAAGATGCTTCGGTGCATACTCTTGGTACAGAGCTGACTGGGTGTGAATTCAGCACTACTACTTGAAAACTATACAACTTGGGCAGTTGACTTCCCTGGAGGATGACAGTAATGTTCCTTTGCTTCACATAATTGTACTAGGGATGAAATTGAGATGCTGTTCATCAAATACTTAGCATATTTCTTGGTATAAGGTAAAACCTCAAGTAGGGGTGGCTTTTGTCACCTAGTGGATCTAGATCCAATGTTGAACTCAGAATGGTACACACACCCTAGATATCATCTTGGTGACATATATTTACTCTAAGAAAGTATTTCATTTTAGCAGTATGGAAAAAGTAGCATCCACCCAAGATATGGGAGATCGTCGACCTGAGATCTTGTTCTGCTACAGATTATATGTGTGACGGACGAGAGCGTACCCGGTGAGCGCCTTGTCCATCTTTCCTCCGACTTTTCAGTGTGCTCTGGCCTGGGTCCAGGTCCCGGATTTGCCTCTGTGTTTCAGAGAGCTGCATGCCAGAATAAGTGGAGGATGTTCTATGGGAATAAACACCTATTAGGAACAACCGTTCCCCCTGCCAGGAATAAGCCCACGTTTTTCAGTGGGAACAGGCTTAAAAGCAGACCGTTATTGGTCGTGTTCCTTTTCCTGCCTTGCTTCCTCTCTTCTACAAGGACCCTTTCACATCCCAAATTAAAGACTTGCTCCAGTTCCTTCTGGAGCAGCGCAAATGAGGACATCACATACATAGTCCTACGATGACTTCCTCAGTTCAAAGGATGAAACCAAGTCCTAGAACATTCTTTCTTTAATCTCAGGATTCTAAATAAGTCCTGTAGGGAAAATTGAAATTATAACATGGATTTTTTTGAGGTGAATGATAAAGGATAACAGTGGTACAAAAGTAACATGAAAGAAAATCTACTTTTTCTAAATAAATGGACCAGAGATACTTGTAAGTCCATCATCCTATTTTATTCACTCTGTCCCTTGCACATAGTGGGTGCTTAATAGTTATTGAGTTTGTTATAGTGATAAGGAAAATGCATTTTTGTTTTGACCGATTTGTTCAAAATATGATTAGTTCTAAGTCTAACATCTTCTAAACATAATAGGGAGGGCAATAAGAAGTGGTGAGTGTCTTTATCTCCAAATCATTTTAATGTAAGAATAGCTTAAGCCTATAAGACCATGGCCTAGCAAATCCATTGTGGTAATTCATTCTTGGTTTTTGAGCAGTGACATTTAATTGATCCCTTGTTGATTGTAAAGGATATGCAAATAATGCTATTAGTTTATATTTTTAGCAATTTACTGTGAAATAGTTTAATTCATTTCCAGGCAATTTAGATGGCTACCCTTGGCATTTTCTCTAGTACAAACTATTGCCTGCAGGAGAGAGAATGCAGGTCTGCTGTTCTACCCTTGCCTAACACACCTATTCCTTCAGTCATCCGGTCAATAAACATTTACTCAGTGTCTGCTCACATCCATGTTCTGTGCTACTGACTTAATGGGCACTAGGCACATTTTAATTGATAATTAGGGAAAGGAAGCACTGGGGATTAGTCTGTAAGGAGAGATCATAAGGTGAAGAGATGGTAGGAACTCCTTTTGGATAAGACTCTAAGCTCAGTATCTTTTAATTAAGGAAATAATAAAAGCCACACTATCTATAACCACATTATAAAAAGTTGAATTGGAAAACTTTTTGTGATAGATCTATTTACAACTATGGGGGCTGGGGGAAGAGTAGCTGCCGAGGCTGCAAAAGAACAGCATCTCATGTGATTTGGTTTCTTGGTATGGAAGTTCAGAATCGTGGTTTCATGGGACATCCCAGTTAATTGGCCTAATAATGGGTTTCGTGCATCTGTTCTTCCTCCTAGTGTATTTCACGGTGCCTGGCATCTTAAAAGCTTGCACGCAGCCAGCCAAGACACAAGTCTTAGTCTGTATTCCAGTGGAGAAACAGAATAAGGAGACTGAGCAAGGATGGGGCATGTGTGACTAATTGCCTCCATGGATAATTGCCTCTTTTGCCGTGTGACAAGAAGGACTGGATGATGCCCAGCTAATATTATTGGATGTTTTGATCCAAGAATCCATAGCAGAATTCTGATCAAAACAGTATTTAAAACAGTATTTCTCATATACTCTGGACTTCCTGGAGCTTTGGGTGGGGGTTGAAACCCTGAAACTATTATCCTGAATTAGTCTTTAAGTGTTCAATCAAAAATATCCCCTAAAATCATAGAAAAAAATCAGTGATAGTTTAGCTTACCCAGTGAAAATATATAGCCCTCGAGCATTATGCTCTTTTCAGAACTCTGCTAGGGATCAACTTGACCACGACTAGAGAAGTTGAATAGGACTCTCGGGAGGCACTGGGTTTGTGTTCATAATGGAGAGAGAGGAACTCAGAACAAAGTTGAGGATGGTTACACAACTCGAAGAATGTAGTCAGTGTCACTCAGCTGTGCATGTGCACACAGTGGGATCAGTGTGTTTTGCTGCACATCCACTCAAACACAACAATGAGTGTTAAAAAACAAATTGCTCCTATGTGAAATACCAAAAGAATGTTTCCAGTTGATGTAAAAGAAATTGAGCTGAATCAACGCTATCAATGTTGCTGCTAACTTTGGATCTCCTTCTTGGCCAGCTAATAACTGATCGTGTTTTACATGTACTCTTTCTCAAGAAGAGAAATGTCCGAGATTAGATCGTCTGTCCCTGGTGCTATCTCCCTTACACCCAGCTAGCTATTTGGAAGCTGTCTGCTCTATCAGTGGGATTAATAATAGCATTTTTAATGTTGCCTATAGCAGTTTTTTTTTATCTAAAGTATGAGCAACAGTCAATTATTTGCCCTCACATGGCATTCAGGGATCACCCAAATCAACCAATCTATTTCTTTCCCAATATGTGTCTTTCTACTTTAGACAAATACGGCTTTGTTCGGTTGCCTATCCCCTTTCTCACCACATTTTCTTAATCCAAGATCTTTCTCCAATTGTCTTTTTTTTTTTAAATCATTTTATTGGGGGCTCATTACAACTCTTATCACAATCCATACATACATCCATTGTATGTCAAGCACATTTGTACATTTGTCGCCCTCATCACTCTCAAAACATTTGCTTTCTACTTAAGTCCTTGGTATCAGCTCCTCATTTTCCCCTCCTTCCCCTCCTCCCTCTCTCATGAACCCTTGATACTTTATAAATTATTAATTTGTCATGTCTTACATAGTATGACATCTCCCTCCCTTCACCCACTTTTCTGTTGTCTGTCCCCCAGGGAGGATGTGGGGTGAGGAGGGTCCCCAAAAAATCATCACAGGTCCGGTAGGCGCAATTGTACAGCGATAATAAGTAAAGATTATAGTAACATCATAGAGAGCAAGAGAGATAGAGGAGAGATTGAATTAATGGAGTCAGACACAATTCATGGTAGCATGCTCACCTCAGCCCCGCTTGGGGGTCCTCATGGGGGCAGCCCGGCCGCGAGAGCAGGAGAGAGCCCCCAGGAGCAAGAGCAGGAGAAAGCTCCAACTTTATTGCTAACCAACGGTTATATCTCCTTAGGGGGGCATGGTTACAGGTAACCACACATCACAGGAAGGGGCAGTACAATAGGCATACACGTTGTAGGAAGGGGATGGATGATAGGCTTAAGCATGACAGGAAGGGGATGAGCTAGGGGTGTGCCCATAGGAATGGGAAGGTCTAGGGGTATAGTGTGACAAGGCGGATCCTAGATTCATGATGGCAGCCTAACCTTGGTCATCCTAGGGCGGGTTTGACCTCTGGCATCTCCTACAAAGAAACAGACAACTATCCTTATCAGAAGGGAGTGGGCCCTCTTTGTTGTGGGATAAATAGTGGTGTCTGCTTGGTCTAGATGGCTGATAACCCTTAGGGAGAATAACCCTGACCTATTTCTGATGACCTCCAAGTGCATAGTCATTCGCAAGCAGCTACGTTTGGCATATATTTGGGGGAGACAACTTGGGAAAAATCCTTCTGTTTCCCACAGGAGGAGGTTATATGTAGATCCTTATCTGCATACATAATCAGTTCCCCCTTTCTACCCAACTTTGTCTTCATCTGAATGGTAATTATCCTCCTTAGATCTCTATGGGGATAGAAATACCTCAGTCCTTGGCTCAGCATGAGAAAGAATTCACAGGAAGCCTGGTTTGTGATCCAAGTGAGTTTTATGAGAGCTAGAAGAAGTCTCAGGTTTACACAGACACCCATAGGACTCCTCCTGAAATGCAGCATGTTTGGAAGTTGCTCGCAGAGTCACGTGATCTCCCAAAGTTCTGCCAGTTGACTCTGGGCTCCTGCCTTTTCAATGATTTCGCAGGGAGGCGTGGTGGACGACCCCACTGGCTGAATTGAGTTCACCTGGCCTAGGTGGGCCAATCCAAGTTCAGCGCCCACCCATGCATACCCAGTGGAAACCTGAACCTCTGAGCATGTGCAGTGTGCCACTCTTTTGTTTCCGTAGCTTGGCCCTCTGGGCATGCGTTAACAGACATCCCCCAGCCCTAAGCTAGCCTACCTAACATCCCCAAGGGCAAATCTCCCTTGGCAGCATTTTCATGGTCTTTTCTGACATTTCCATCTTCAGTGCTCTTGTTTCCCTCTAATTTTCTATTGCTATTTTTTCTGCACTTTCGCTTGGGC